GTTAGACATCTCGCGCTTTATTTTAAAATGTGAAACTCAACCAATTGCTGAGATGGACGGGCTGTGCCACGTGTTTAATTTGGTCCAATCAGAGGCCACCTTACGTCGCACGTGTCTTTATAAAGCCGCTGTTTCTCCTACGAGTTTATATCTTCGTCTTTGAGCGAAAGGCAAACAGCTAGTCTAAAATGGCAAGAACTAAGCAGACCGCCCGTAAGTCCACCGGAGGAAAGGCTCCCAGGAAGCAGCTGGCTACCAAAGCTGCCCGTAAGAGCGCTCCAGCTACTGGTGGAGTGAAGAAGCCCCACCGTTACAGGCCTGGTACAGTTGCTCTCCGAGAGATCCGCCGTTACCAGAAGTCCACTGAGCTGCTCATCCGCAAGCTGCCCTTCCAGCGTCTGGTCAGAGAGATCGCTCAGGATTTCAAGACCGACCTGCGCTTCCAGAGCTCCGCCGTCATGGCTCTGCAGGAGGCCAGCGAGGCTTACCTGGTTGGTCTGTTCGAGGACACCAACCTGTGCGCCATCCACGCCAAGAGGGTCACCATCATGCCCAAAGACATCCAGCTGGCCCGCCGCATCCGTGGAGAGAGAGCATAAGTACAGCTGATCCAAGAAAACCCAACGGCTCTTTTAAGAGCCACATAAATATTTCTTCAGAGCTCCGCGATCCTGTATTTCTCTCTATATAGCACGCTATTTATAGATGGAATTGAAAACAAAATGGCACAGACTGCTTCACCACATTAGCCTACACACTCCCTGGATACACACAAAAAAAAAAAAAATGTAGCCCGTAAGGCTTCCATGAAGAGGCAGTTTTTTTTTTTTTTTTTTTTTTCCTCAAATGAAAATGCCTCAAACCAGAGTTGTCAAGATGAGCTTTTATCAGCAGCAAATGCGTCTAGAAACATTTTTTTTTGTTTTTAGTACATTTTTTTTTTTTTTTTTTTAGTACAGTAATTCCAAATGCATAGATCTTTGGATGCAGGCTCTTTTGTCATTTCAACATACACTTTTCTTATAAAGAATTTTAAATGGCCAATGATGAGAATATTGCAGCAAAATACATTGTTAAATACCTGCCATAATTCTTTGCTTAAAGGTTAGTTATTCTTGTTCAGGAGATATTTGAGAAAAATACAGAACAATAATGCAAAAACTGTTTAACAATGTCCCTTTATCAATTACCTTAAGGTTTTATAAATATTTTTTTTTCAATAATTATATTTATGTGCATTTTTCCTGTTTTGTTGCTACCTTTTTCTCTTTGTAAATTGAATTATAGGAGATGCCGTGTTTTTTATATCTTATAGATTATTTTTCAAAAGCTCAAGTCATTTTACTCGCAGCTGTGTTTGCTCAAATAAATAGAACCTCAACAGCATGTGGAAACTCAATATTAATATTTTATTGTAAAAAAACATGTTTATCATAAAACAGGTAGCCTACTATTTTCTTTGAACTACCAGGTGTTGTTCAAAGCAGCATCGTTTTAAACGCTTCCTTAAAAATGGTTAGAGGTGGGATGTCACATTGTTTTGCAGTGATCAGTTTTCATTAAACGTGTGCTTAAAAAATTAATATATATTATTTTAAAATATACATATATATTTTTCAACACACCTTATATTATCATTGTGCTGATAACAGCCATAATCTTTTTTTGGTCTTTAGAGAAAGATGAGACCATGTCTGCTATGGACTTGTCCTATTTCACTGTTTTCTACCTTCTCCGACTCTTTATCTATTTTCTTTTTTGATTAGGATACTTTGCTGCAAGAGACCATGGGTGCAGCAAGGTGGTGTGGCACCACAACATTAAAGGGGAAACTTTCTCTTCCTCAAGTCATCTCCAGTCTTCTATTTCCAATAGAAAATTGCATAGGGGCAGTGGAAATCCTCCATCTGATCCTGGATCCAGATGAAAATGATAAAGAATCCATTGGTGTTCCTTTTTACCTCATATGAGGGCTTTTGCCAAGACATGATTACCAGTAAAAATTAAAATTATTGTTCACTAAACAGTTTAACAGCGTTTAGATTTGGGTACAGATCCCTGTAATTCCCGACATGTGCATAGTTCTGAGATACAGAATTTCTCTAGTACAACCATATGTAAATGTTTTTCTATAAAGACATATATGTTATTGTATCTGTTCTGGGGAAAAGGAAAAAAAAAAATTTAATTAGAGTTTTATATGTGTGTAGATGTATTGGTAGAATGAATTAAAGTACTGACTGGAAGAGAGGGGATGGGTATAATATAAATAAATTGATTATCATATTTTATTATCTATCAAATTCAGATAATGACAGTTATTTTATGTAGAGAATCTGTATTGCTGTCTGTCAATGGGTTGAATAGTTTCCGCCATCAACTGGCGTCTGGAGCCACGCCCTTAACCTCGAACCACGCCCCGATCTGCAAGCTGCAATCAGCGGTAATTGGCAGAAGCAGACGGCGGTAAAAGGGCGACTGCCTTGATTGGACGACTGGATTTGTTGTTAGATGTGACCAATCAGAAAGCATAGCTCCACGATAGGCTGTATATATACTCCCAATGTGCGTCTTGACTGTCACATGAGAAAGTAAACTTAATTAGAATCATGTCTGGACGTGGAAAGACCGGAGGCAAAGCCAGGGCTAAGGCCAAGACCCGCTCATCTCGTGCTGGGCTGCAGTTTCCTGTCGGCCGTGTTCACAGGCTCCTGAGGAAGGGCAACTACGCTGAGCGCGTCGGCGCTGGAGCTCCCGT